CAGCCCGCTCTAACTCTTGCATACTAAATGAACTTATTGTTGGCGCAAGCAACGCGCAAGCCTTCCATTGCATACCGGTCACGTGATTTTGCCAAATAATAGACCGTCCAATGAAATCGAGCACTATATTTTTCATTGGTATTGTTTTCGACGATGTAATTCTACAACGAATGGTATTTCTTTTCATGTTTTTTGTGTAACAGCGCGTGTACCAATGTAACATTAAGATTATATAAAAATGTAGCAATCGCTCAGTTTGGTCACATCATCAATTATGCTAAATTTTATTTGTATACGTCTAATCGAATATTATGTTGTCTCATTTGCTGGACATAATTGACAAACTATGGACATAATTGACACAATAATAAAATACTTCGTTGTATAATATTTTTTTTCATTAAAACGTGACTCAGGGATATTGATCAAAGAAAGTATTTTGTATGCAATTTTCGTTATCATAATTCATCTTTTTCTTTTCAAGTGAACTTTCATTTATTTCGTGCACGTTCGATAATACATAACGATAACGTATAATACTCAATTGAGAATATGCTTCCTGGAGGAAGATTGTGTCCAGAGTGTGAGCGGGCGATTATTAATACAAAACGAACCTTCGTCAGTCATTCGTCACTGTCGAAGGAGCAACGGGGGGGCAGCAATCAGGACTTCCTCCTCATAGCGCCTGCCCGTTTCGTGGGCACCGCACGATGTTATTTTTCGCAGGAAATTACCCACTTTCCTCTCCTCATTCACTACCATCGTTTCACGAGGTATATCGTACCGTCTCGCTGAAATAAATCAGCTGGCATATCGATCGTATCGTAACGCGAATCGCGATTCCACCGCGTGGATATTACTTCGTTTCCCAAAATTGTCTCTCTGAAACGAAAGCTAATTTTCGCCCATCCTTTCTTCCGTGCCTTATCTTTTACCCTTTAAAGTTAATTTCGCTGGTTACTTCTCAGCCATCTCTGATATCTTTAGGGATTTATGCGTGCCCAAGGCGGACTATCTGCCAAAGAACGAACACTTAAAGTATGGAAGGGTACAGATAAGTCGATCGATTTCGTGGACAAGGACTCTTGAAAAAAATAGAAGGGCTGTGGTGGGATGTAAGGACACAGAGAGGAAAGAGCACTTATCCTATCACGTGACTCCATTCTTTCAAATTCCCCTTGAAAAACGAGTTTAGTTTTACGGTCATCCGGAAATACGTCTACATTTTCCGGAAATTTATGAGCCAATCTCAATCGAGGAATATAAACTACAATTTTTTGTATTAAACCTTATGGAATCTTTAAACTTGATATTTTAGCATATCTTGATCCATGATCCATTCTTATGATTAATACAAGTCTTTCTGTAGCTTACATTTTATTATAAATTATGAAAAAGTATGAAATTTAAGTTAGATTAATATTTATATCACTTATAATATTTACTAAAAGACTTAATAATAGATTAGCTATATGATCTTTTTTATTATAAGATCTTGTTGTATAATCAGTATTGCAAATAAAGTATATTTTTTAGGAGAAAAAATAAAATTAATCAAATAGCTTTAATCAAATTTGATCATAAGCTTTTATAGGAAAATTTGTTCTTTGCTCTTCAAATACATGAAGAGCTTTATTTATACGAATGTTAAAAATTCATGATAACGAAAGTTTATTATAATAATTATGATAGCTTTCAATCTCATTTTAATTCGGAAACAATCCAATAATAAAAAAATGAAAAAAAAAAAAAACGGATAAAATCTAATCTAAAATATGCTCTTCTCAAAAAGATTTTAAAGCAACTGAATTGTTGAGCATTAAACCATGACTTTAAATAGACAATAAAATCTGACGGATATCGTTCTTTGATCGCCGAAAAGGATATTAGGAAGATTTTCGCGAACTGAGGGTCTGTGAGAGAAGAAGAAAGAGGCCTCCGTAGCCCTTTCGGTTAAACGACTTACCGTGGCATAACCTTTGACCGACTATATTTCAGTCACGCCGAAAGCCGAAAGCCGTCGAAAACCGAAAGGCGCGTTTTATTCGTTTCTTCTTCGCCGTTTCTTGCCGGCGGCGGTAACGAGGACGGGACTTATCCGACTCCGAAATCTCCGGCGCGAAATTGCGAAAGCCGAACACAAAGAGGCTGCGTGCAACCGGCATCGAGAAGGAGAAGATCGTATCTTCTCGTTTCTGTCATGTCAGCGGCCGAAACGCAAAGAACGAACGGACGACAGACTGGTCGTGACACGAAATGCACTACGAATGCATCATGCACACGGTGTTCTCGCGGTTAAGTCATCGATCTCTCCTCTCGCTGAGTATATAGGTATAGCGGATTGCGCGTTCCAGAGGATGTGCAGACTCATCCAACGGATCAACCGCAATCACCAATTTCGATGAGACTTCTGGCATGTGTGTAATGAATGTTAGTAAGGACCACTTTGATAATAAAAAATGTCATTGAAGTGGCGGCCCTTATATCTATAAAGGTGAAAATACTAAAATACTATCTTCGTATATTCTGTGATGTATATTTTAGATCACCCAAAAGTGAGCGAGACGTTCGACATAAAACTTTCATGGGTAGGATTAAGGTCCATTAAGATACGTAAACGAAGTTTTGAGAGAATCAGCTTTCTCAAATTTCAGAGGGGAAACTTTTAATTGTGGAAGCAATTCCTTTTCATTCTTTACATTACGATTATTTTCACTGGCCTTCTTTTCTATAAAAGTATTTTAGAAGACGACTTTTTAAATTATATTTTGTGTAACTGAATTTTGGATTTCTATCGAAGATCTGCATTTGTCTCGCAAGATTCTTCCTTGCAGTTTCATGTGTTAGATGATTCTAAAAATTTCGAATATCTCACTTTCCTTAATAGCTATAGCGAAGAAATGTCTTCGCCCTGTACATGTACGAACTCTGCTTTTCCGAATTTATACAAAGGACAAGTTTAAACTTTTTCTTTTCTCCCTGACGTGTTTCTTTCACATCTGCGGTTTTTCGTTGTGATATCACTTAACTGTAAGAGATTCCGATGTCGCTCGCAGTTACGCAATTACTTACAATGTTCTTCAATATTCTTCTCGGAATGTCATTTACGATATCTTATGATAGAATCAACAATAAACTCTTATATTGCACATTTACATTTTAGCGATGTATGCTATGAAAATTTTTAGATTAATTTTAAAATTCTTTTATAACGCGACAACAGTGACAACAAACTACATAATAAAAATATAATTATTTGAAAAATTATGCACTGAAAAAATAGTTTTAATAAATATTTGTTTGAATATTTCTAATAAATATTTACTAAATGTAGACATGTATTTATTTGGCGCAAGAACACTTAATTTGATTAAACTATCATTTTTTTATTGAGTAATTGAGTTAGTATTTATTTACTATAAGTATTTATTTACTATAAGTAAATGTTTCCTTAGTATTATTCAGAAATATGTATTAAGATTTAATAATTTTTTCCAGTATGAACGATGATGTGAGAATTCCAATTGTAACCATTTCACTAACAACACAATTCGCTGAACTTTCAAGATCAACTTGGAACCATACGAATGTAATCTGCAAGAAATTATCTCTATATGCAAACAAACACATTTAGTATGTATGAGACAGCGATGATTCACGTTATGAACATTTGCGTAGTGTGATAGAGTTCCGAGAATATATAGTCATCTCGTAATTAAATACGATGTCTCTGAATATCTAACTTCAAACGTCTCTCTTTACGATGTCTTCGAAACTTCTACTTCGCTCGAGTGTTTATTCCCATGATACAAGAATATCATGTTTATTCCCATATAGAAACAAATATAGAGACGCGACGGTTGTAAATGAATCGTTAGAAAATTCGCTTCCGTGTATAAAACTGTCAGAATGGAATTTAGCGGTGCGCCGACAAAAATGGATTTGTACTATCTTCTTATTCCGCTTATCATTCTCTTTATATCTCAGCGCATTGCATACCTCTGAGATTTTCGATTTGGCATCCATCAAGCTCGCTATTTTTCTCCTTCCGTATCTCCAGCACGACGGAACTTTCGCGAACACATGGGACAATACGTGTTTATCTTCAGTCGGGATAATCCGCTGAATAAAATAATCGATTTTCGCCATGTCTCTGACAAGGATATATCTCTTTTCTTTACTCATTTGGGAATTTATATTAATGTCACTGATGCATATAACTTGTGACACGGTGCACAGCGGTCCACATAGAAGAACCGACATCTTTTACACGAAGATGCGCACACGTTTGCCTATCACATATATCAACATAATTACAGAGCGTTTGCTATTAGATTATTAATGGGAAGGAGTTAAAAAGATTTATTCGCGACAGGCTGGGAAAGGCAGCGTGCAAAATTTATTTTCAGGAAATTACTATCGCCATTATATTATTTTGAACGAAAAAGAAACGAGTCATTGTCGCTTAGTTTGAAACTTAATTAATGAACTGAATAATGAATATATAAAAACCGAATAGATATCATCTGCGAACAAGTTCCTGGTAATAATATACATATTTTCTTGGAACTCTCTATCTTATTCGAATATATTATATGCCATAAAATTAAAAAAAAAAATCAAAATAATTAAAATTATCTTTCCATGTAGAATGTCTTAGAATTATGGCCCGGGACTCGGATATATTTGTACCTTAACATATCTGCCAACGTTAAATTTTCTTTAAATCGGTCGAGGAATATACGAAAGTAATGGTCGTAACTCTCAGGTACTCTGTACGACAGCAAATTGGTGTAAAGTACCATTGATAATAAAGTACACCGAATAGCCTGGCGCAATTTCAAGCATTTGGAGAAGAATCCCGAGGTATCCAACATCTCAGGAGATATCTTTCGACGGGGAGCGTTTTAACGGTGCCGTTCTTCGTCGAACATATCGTCGATCGTCCCCGGGAATTCTGGTCCTGACGTTAATCTCGGTGACAATTTTTCTGTTTCAAGGAGCCGTGAACAGTGTCGACGACTGCCCGCAGGACAGCGTGCCGAACGAGAATGGCGGTGGTTGCAAATGTGCGGATTGTCCACCCCACAAGTGCCGACCGGGTCAGCAGGCGGTGTTGGTGAGGGGGTCATTTTCCGACATCCCCGGTAACTGCTGCCCGCGCTACAACTGCGTTCCCTCAGGTAATAGAATCCATAAAAGGGGCCGTGTTCGCAGTGGAAAATAATGTTTGCCAAGTGTAACGGCTTCGCGCGTGGTAAGATCGAAACTATTGCGGAATCAAGAAAATGATACGACGATGGTGGTGTAAATATCGCGCTTTCTTTGATTAAATCCGATCGTTTGAAAAACTGTTAGATTGATGATAATGTTGACTGTAGACAACCAAAATGAAACATTGTGCACTTTATATAAACAAAAACGTATAGCACTTGAAGCTAAACACTAAATAAAATCTCGAAAGTATATAAAATATCAAGTGTCATCGCCCGCGTCGTTGGAGCACAACGTTTATCGTTCATAAAATTAAAAATACATTTCTCTTTATACCGATTTAAAATATTGATAGTTAAGAAATATAAATACCGTTTATAATATATTATATAATTAATATATTATATAATTGCGGTACACAATAATTAATAAATAAGCATAAAACTAGAATATTATACATCTTTCTCATTTAACGAGTCTGTAACATAAATTTATAGTGTTGATTCACATCGGTTTTGCAGATCACCATCATCGGACTGAGTCATTTTGTCCTGAGGATAGCGTCCTGACGGACGATGGTATCTGCAAGTGCGTCCCGACATGTCCGCCACCTAAGTGCCGATCTGGTCAACGGCCGATCGAAGTGCGGGCGGCCAAGCCCGAGACACCCGGTAGCTGTTGCCCCCTTCATGACTGCAGACCCTCAGGTAATTACGAAAGGTCGTAATCGAAGCTGGCTTCTGTCAGGTGATAGGGACAGCGCGCGGGACGATACGTCGTACATCGGATCGATATCTCAGGAATCTGCTTTCCTCTCTCCTGGCTCTTTCTCTTTCTCTCTCGCTGATATTGCGCTTCAATGTGTCCTATCTTTCTCTCTTTCTCCCTCTCTGCTTCCCCCCTCCCCCCCCCTCTCTCTCTCTTCCTCCTTTCGAATTGCAATCTGACGAGGCAAGCTCGTTTGTTGAGCTTGTAGCCTCAATATACTTCAGATATCGGCACGAAGAACTTCCTCGATCGTAATCAACGCATTTCCTGTGGACACGAGATGTTCCATTACTGAAAGAAAGATAGAAGGAAAGGCTGAAGAAGATGAAATGTGTATGCATGTTAAATATGTGACGAGAATAATGAAATTCAAGAAGAGAAGGAGATTATTACTGCGAAGAAGATCTCTCTTTCTCTTTCTCGTCGCTTGAAATTCACCAAGTTCTTATAAAAGTTTTCAGCAACTTTGGTCACAAAGTGTATCTTTTAACTCTATGACACAAATTTTGCTTTTCAACTATAAATAATGCTATGTGTAACATGAAAAGTCATAAACTTTTGCGCAGTTTTTAAAATTGAGGATTAATTAAGAGGAGTCTTTTAAAAATACCAACTCTACTATTATTTTCTGAAATTCATTCTAGAATCGACCATTATAAATGCTAGTCGCGCAGATTGTAAGCAGAGATAATGCTCAAATGCGATATTTCAGCGAGAGGCGGTTTTTAAGTTACGACGTTTAAAGTTACACTGTCACCATTCTTGCTACGGAACTTTCGATCTACCTGTTGAATTTTAATGAAGTCTTATC